GATGGTTGTCTTGAAGAGTAATCCCATCGCCTCTTTCACTCGCTTTGTCCTCGCTCGTGTCATAGGTCCACCTTCGACTTTCAACGGATCTTTCCTTGGGCTTGACGTTGGATTTGATTTGGTTGCTTGCGGCTCCTGAATCACATCACTCTCTCTATAAGTAATTTGTCTGTTTATCTTCCAAACATTCATTTTCTTTTCTTAACCAATCAAAAATGTCTATTTATCTCTTCAAATTTCACGTCCAACAGTAATCCACCATAATTTATTTTTCATAATTTTTTTTTCAACCCTACAAAAAATAAATTATCTCACTTTGAATTAAAAATTTGAAGATTCTATTTAACATATTGATCTAGTATCACCGCGATTACAGCTTTTAAGTTTTTCAATTTCTTTTTATCTTCAAAACATATACTACATAGTTTATAAAGTATTATTATTAATGTTTTGTTCTAATCTCATGATAATAGCCATTTTACATGCTTGTTAAAAGTACTTTGAAATAATTCTTTGTCCACACTCATACTTCTTATTTGTAAGTTAATTTAGTATAAATTAATATAAAATTAGAAGCTCATTTATATTTTATCGTCATTTTCATTATATTGTTATACTATCTCCCACAATCAATATTCTCCAATTTTGTACATAAATAACTCAAATGCATAGTCACTTCTTTTAAATAGTTGCAGTGACAAAAATGATAAAAGAAACAATGGCATGATAATCCTATATGTCAAATTTCACTTATAATTTGTATAGCATGTTGAGTTTTGACATTTTGTTATTTTCCTCTTCAGATTTTGGTGCTTAGCTGTTATATTAGATTCTTCATAATTATATTAAAACTCTTTATAAGAAGACTTAAGTAAGAATGTAGTGATTTTTCTTCAATAGGCCCCGAATGTAAAGTTGGCATAAGGCCCTGACAATATTAGGGTCGGCCCTGCCATTTTCTGAAAGTATTAAGCCCTAGAGAAATTACAGCCTTGGTCCCTAAAATTTTGGAATTTTAGCAAAATAGTCCTCAAGCCGAGGTGCAGCTCCGCGGCGCTGCAGCGCTACAGGTATTTTAAGCCTTTTCCAATTTGGTCCTTGGATTTTGACTTTCATTTCAATTTTGCCCTCCAAAAATTGCAACCCCAAGTCCTTGAACTTTTTGCCCTTATGCATTTTGGTCCCAACTTCACAAAATTGCACTCTTTTAGTCCTTTTTCCACATTTTGCTTTGTTCTCTTTCCTTAGGTGTTTTCTAGCCTATAAAAGCGAATATTATATAATTGTGAGTAGAATTTAATCAATAAATAACATAATTAGATATTAAATAAGTGTGTAAAAACACACTTATCAAATACTCCCAAACTTAAGTTATTGCTCGTCCCGAACAAGATTATCTACAACATAATCAAATCATTGTGATACGATTAGCACATTAGATAGCTTGCCAAAAATATCAATGAGTGTAAACTTGTATAATCAATTTACAAATATACCCCAAATAACGCTAACAAAAATAAATTAAGCTTATCCAATGTTCGATCGGTGTATGTGTGCAAAGTCACTTTCAATCATTATCTAAATTTGGAAAAAATTGTCAAGACGAAAAAAACCTACAAATTGGCACTAACTCAACCCTTTGTGGTCAAATATTTCATTTTCCGCCCGTGAGATTCACACTCCTCAAATAGTTATTCTTTTATTTGCTAATGTGTAAATCTAAGGTTGCTCTCAATTACTCATTTCTTTTTTCGCTCTAGTTTGGTCGGGTTTAACCGACAATTTCAACATCTAGTCATGTAATGATTCTCCACTAATGAGTGCTTCCACATTCAAGTTTATACTAAATAATTCAAACCCACTAGTTATCTAAACCCAAATATCGAATTACTCATTTTCTACGTTAGACCCGATTTTCCAATTTTAGTTAATTACCTCTCCCGAACGAAATTAACTTTAACCGATTGGTTTAATCTATTACATCTCTATGTCGATTAAAACCAAACAACTGCATTAAATTTTTGTGAAAATAACTTAATGGGTTACCTAGGGATAGGAGTACATCTCTATCCCCTACACAAATCTAGAGTTTCTACTATCTGGTCTAAAATGCACAATATTCTCTCGAGCGATGTACAAATCACTAAATATAATCATTCATTGACCACATAAATGAAAATGCAATAAATACAATAGTATAAATACATGGAAATAAATAACTTAACGTTAAAGATCAAATATCAAAATTAATTAAAAGTTAGGTTAAATTAACACCATAAATCCCAATACAATAAATTAGCCCATATTATATATATGATAACAAAGGAGAATATTCATCCAATACATTGTAAATATGACAAAATAATTAAAAAAATATAAAGTTATAGATATAACCCAATTTGAAGCTTGACTTTGATTTTTCCAAATACTTCTTCAAATCTATTATGACGGAACCATATTCCACAGAAATATAAAAGGGTTGAAAACAATTTAAGATAAAGATTGTTGAATCTAAAGTTAGAGATTCAAAATTTTCAACTAGGTGGAATTAATCATTAGTCCCGTATTCCACTGTAACACCTGTGTGATTAATTGTATTGGTATGGAACATGTAGCAATCTAGAAAAGATCATTATCCCAAGTTAAAAGAACCAATTTTTTTTTCCCAGTTCTCAGGGACTATTATGAACATTCGTAATTAATTTGAAATATGGCACAAAAGAGATAGTATAAAGTGCCTAATTGGTAAAATTTTATCATTTTTCTTAATATTAATAGATCAAACTTCAATTTTAACTATATATATTTCATGGAACTTATAGTACAATTTCAAGATTAAATGGAGAAAACTGATTATAATTAGGCATATTAAATAAAAGCAGATTAGCAAACAAACAAAACAAAACATTCTCAGTAAAAAAAGAGGACTATAATTGTGACAAAAAAATAAGGAAAGTCAAACTAAGAAGTAATTTTTACCAACTTTTAGTCACATATCACATCAACTTTTATCATATTTACCAATTTTTTTTTTTGGGA